AAACCAGGCCCCGGCAGGGACGCGGGGCTGGAGCCGGAGCTGCCGCCACCGCCGCCGTCGGGGGGAAGGTGAGCGGGAGCTGCCGGGCGGGCTGAGGCGGCGGGGGGGTGTCCCTGCCCCGTCCCCCGCGGGTCCCCGGGCGGGAGGAGGCTCGTCTTGGGCCGCCGCCGGGCTCGGGGCCTTGCCGTGAGGACGGGGGAGCACGGCGGGAGGCCGGGGGTGGCTCGGCGGGGCAGCCGGGCCGGGGTTGTTCCCTCGGGGCCGGGCAGAAGAACCAGCCTCCTGCTGAAGGGGAACCGCAGCCCCCTGTCCCGGCAGCAAGAAAGCGGCCGGCTCTTGTGAAGAAACAAGGGGCAAACCCACCCCTCCTGGCTGCCGGCCCCTCTCCGGCTGCAGGTGCCATTAGCGGGATTATCAGGCGGTTTGGGGTTGTGTGTGTGTGTGGTGGCATTGCTAATCCGTGCCTGGTGGCAGGGGTAGGCTGTAGCTGTTGCTTCTCGGTGCCTTCCCCAGTCTGGGGGTGCTGGGGTGTTCTCCAGAGCTTACCCTGAGAGGTTTTGTGTACCTGCTGAGATCCCTGCTTTCCATAACTGCTCCTTCTGGTGCGACTGGCGGGGTCTCTGCAAACCCGGTGTCTGCTGCTGACAGCTGAAGACCACTCTTGCAATTAATTAAGGACTTTACCTGGCTCATGTGCTAGAAATGAGTGCAAGGAGCTGTACCTAAGCCTTGCTTCCACTTCACCGTCAGCGTAAAGCCTCAAGTGTCAGCATAAGTCGGTGGGCGCTCGTTAGTCAAATGAGAAACTGCATCTTTTTCATCTGGGGACAATGTATATAAACTGCTCTATTAGCAAGCTAGAACTTAAATTAAAAATATTTACTTGGAACTGTGCAATAGGAAGTGTATTAGTGACTCTCTTCAGTGATCTCCAGTGACAGGACGAGGGGCAACGGGCACAAGCTGGAACATGGGAAGTTTCGCTCTAATATGAGGAAGAACTTTACAGTGAGGGTGCCAGAGCCCTGGACCAGGCTGCCCAGGGGGGTCATGGAGTCCCCTTCTCTGGAGATCTTCAAGCCCCGCCTGGATGCAGCCCTGAGTGATGTGCTCTGGGCAACCCTGCTTTGGCAGGGGAGTTGGACCAGATGATCTCCAGAGGTCCCTTCCAACTCTGACAATTCCATGATGCGGGTTAAAATAAAGTCCTTTTAGGGCATGCTCATACTATTCTGCCTGGAAGTTGGCATCCAGTTGTGTGGGACTCCCTAGTACTGCACCCCGTTGTCGTTTTTAGATGTGGATGTTGACAGAGGTCAGAAAACCTGTGACAAGGACAGCGGGATCATCTCCCTTTGCTTGGATGAGGTCCTAATCAGAGTAGCATTGTGGGTGTTTCTGGAAGACGGTGGGCTTTATCTTGCAATTTTTACTGCTCTGGGCAGCCGCAGAATAGACAGCTGTAAGGTTGGAACACACCAAAACAACATTACTTCTTAGTAGTGTGTATGAACTGTGTTGGACCTGTATGCCTTGTGGAGCATCCTGTGCTCTTTTTGGTCATGGAGACGAAATCTGTCTTCCCTTCTTCACTGCCATTGCCTTTGGTAGGGTGTTCAGTGTGGCAGTAATGTAAATCACACCTGGGCTTGGGTATGGAGTATTTTTGTGTTCATACCATCAGTTATCAGAAAAAAATGCTCAACTTCTTTTGGGGGGAGCCGAATTACAGGAGATAAAGGCCTTCTCCAGGCCTGGTGGACAAGTCAAATATGAGTGAAACTGGCTATCTACATTTTGGGCTATGTTAGCAAGGCCACAGGCATTAGATCGAGGAAGTATTTATTGCCCTCTTTTCAGCACTTTTGAGACCACAAGTCCAGTTTAGAACCCCACGATACAAGAAAGACACTGATGAACTGGAAAGGGTGCAGAGAAAGGCCACCAGCATTGCCAACGTGGTTAGGTGGCTGGAGCACATGGTGTGTCCCGAGAGGCTGAAGGAGAGAGGGCTTAAAGGGGGTCTTAGCACTGCTCTTAATCATGTGTTTTATAGAGGGGGGAAGTTATACTCTTCTCAGCAAAGGGACAAGAGGCAACGGGCACAAATTGCAGTAAGAGGAATTCTGACTAGAACAAGGAAGAACGTTTTCACCATGAGAGTGGTCAGGCACTGGATTAGGGGGAGTGGGATCTCCATCCACGGAGATATTACAAACCAGACTGGACATGGCCCTGAGCAACCTGATCTAACTCCTCACTTAGCAAGAGTTTGGAGAAGTGCTGTCCAGTGAGTTAGTAATTCTATGGTTCTCCTCAAGATGAGGAAACAGCACTCAGTTCAGAGTAGAGCTGACTGTCCCTAAGAGAAGGCAGAGCTTTAGATCTTACCTCTGGCTGGCGGCAAAGAAGATGTCAGATTTTAATTTCTATTACAGGTTAGTGCATAGATATGCAAGTAAACATATAAAGCTGTGATGATTGCATTTGAGGTGTTGCACCTAACATTACAGGCAAAAGGACAAGTAATATTTTGCAAGGCTGACATGTGTGGACAGGACTTTAAATTTATTTTATGGGGACGTTGTGTTTGGAGAAAGCCATAAACAATTAAAAATGTAATAGACGGGAGAGTTTAACTTTTAAGTAATCTTTAAAGCTGTATAATCACCTCTGAGTTTTGAAAAAATGTTTCTGTGCCATAACCCATGCTCCATATGCTTCTGCAGCTAGTAGGTGGAACCATTGGAGAAGTCCAGGCATAACAATCTGATAAATACTGTAGTGTTGAATGCTACTCCTAAATCCTGCTTGGTCTCACAAGTTGTATTTCTTGTACTTGCTGTGGGTGTTTGCTGCCTGACAGGTTCTGGAGTTCGGCTCTGGCAACTGGAATGAGAAAGAGCTTTCTCTTGCTCTCCCACACGCTTGCTCTCTCCCGTCCTTTCCCCCTAATTCACACCCCCAAACACACGTGCATGAAATCAGTGAAGTGCACGTCACTGCTGCTACGTGCTTGTACATCGCGGAGGATAAATCAGCTGCTGCTCCTCACGTTGCCCTCAAGAACATGCTGAGGAGCAAAATGTTGTAAGCCTGAATTAGTGGAACAGGTAGGGATCGTGGGAGCAGAGCCCTTGTCACGAGATCAGCTTTCTGCTCGTTAATAGGAGTTGTCTGGAGCTACGTGGGTAGAGGCCGATTTCAAAACAGAAGGAAAAGGAACATCCTTGCTCTGTCAGAATGGGAGGGAAAATTGAGACTGGGAAATGTGAGATGAATTCTGCTCTAGGTACATGTTTCAACATCTCACAGCAATTGTGGAATAAAATTTTTCTGCTTCATAGTTTTTGTTGTGCTTGGGGATTAGCAAAGTTGCATTCTGCATTTCAGTCACTTGTTGCTTGCAGAAACAGAGCAAGAGTAAAGGAGTGATAGACAATGTCTATCTAGGCATAGGAACTCTGCAATCATACATGCTGTAAGTCACATTTTAATAAAAAAGCAAACCACAACAACTCGAAGCTTAGATTCTTTCAGAAATTAAACAGAGCAAGAGTAAAGGAGTGATAGACATATGTCTGTTTAGGCATAGGAACTCTGCAATCGTACATCCTGTAAGTCACATTTTCATAAAAAACCAAACCACAACAACTCCAAGCTTAGATTCTTTCAGAAATTGTTCTTAATCCATTTCTCTCTACAGGACTACACTATAGTTGCAACATGTTTTTCTTCTAGGTCCTGACCAACAGTTACTTCAAGTCTTGAGCAAACCTTTCATCTAGACTAGGATAATTTTTTTTTCTCCCCGAGGTATTACTTGTGTTGTTCTAGAACTATGGCTAAGACAGCGAGCAAGAGTAAAGGAGTGATAGACAATGTCTATCTAGGCATAGGAACTCTGCAATCATACATGCTGTAAGTCACATTTTAATAAAAAAGCAAACCACAACAACTCGAAGCTTAGATTCTTTCAGAAATTATTGTTCTTAATCCATTTCTCTCTACAGGACTACACTATAGTTGCAACATGTTTTTCTTCTAGGTCCTGACCAACAGTTACTTCAAGTCTTGAGCAAACCTTTCATCTAGACTAGGATAATTTTTTTTTTTCCCCGAGATGCTACTTGTGTTGTTCTAGAACTGTGGCTAAGACAGGCAAGCATACAGGTTGTCTCTTGTTTGTAAGATGAAGAGAATGGCAAGTTTTCCCCTAAATTGTCCAAAGCTAAGAAAGCAGTGTTGCTCCAGAATTATAGAAAACCTGAAATTTCATCCCAGAGAGGTCTAGCCCTGAGGCTTGTTAGGAGGTGGTGGTGGAGAAGAGAGATTCTTACACGTAGACACGGTGAAGCCAGAGCAGTTAAAACGTTTGGAGGACTTCTTGTGATCTTTTTTCCAGGTCCTTTCTGCTGCCTCTGTGTGTTGTGCTCTGGGACGAGGTGTTTTGCTGTCTGTAAATTTCCAGGTACAGTCAAAGGTGTCTACAGGAGTGAGAGTTACTTATCTAAGACCATCTTCTTATGAGTCATCGTATGCTCGTGGTCAGGAGGAGTATTCAGTAGGGGTTTTTGTAGCACTGAATTTGAGATGGTGCAGTGTCCTGTGGTAGTGTGTGCTTGGGAGAAGGTTTTGAGTGTACCCTGTGTTGTGTAGAACAATAAATTAGACTAATCAATGCAGCTTTCTGAAAACTGATAATAGAGCATAAACTGATACTGGTAACAGTGTAAATGTTCTGAATCTGCCTAAACTGAACAGTTTTTTAATGAGATAAAATCTTAGCCTGAGATTAAGCAATCGCACTATCTTTCTCGATTAGAATTGTCAGCATTTCCACTACTCAAAAGAAAAGGACTGAAAAAATCAAGTAATTTTGCCTTGTGAACCATTATGTTTCTCCTAGGTGCTGCTGGGGTGAACGGTATACAAATAAAATGCATCAGAGAGGTTTTTTGTGTGATTAAGCAGTATAGGCAGGTCTGGTTTTTTTTTTAAGATTTATTCATTGCCCTTTTTTTGTGTTGTTTTTTTTTTTTTTAGTGAAACAGGAGATGATAGGTGGAAATGAATCTTGTACTGCAGGACCCGTACCTATGTCCTACCTAACCTGCCTGACCTACATTCTGGGAGAATGGACCGGCGTGGAGCATATTGAAGATTACCTGAGTTATGCAGTCTACCTTTTGTGGGTGCTTTTTCCACTGGCAGTAGTTTTGCTGCTTCCAGGAGTCCTCGTCATCCTCTTCTACACTTCCATTCTCCTCCTTCATATTTATAAAAGGAAGAATGAACTAAAGGAAGCTTATTACAATGATGTTTGGGAGGGTGCAAGACAGATGGTGGGTACCCTATGGGATGGACACGGAAGAATATGGCATGGTAAGTGAGGTCTAACTTTTCATTAAAAACTGATGAAGCTCTAATTTTTGTTTACCTTTCAGGGTTATCAATATATATCTGATTGTTCCTGCTGTTGTATGAACTCTAAAACTCAGGCCAATTTTTTGTTTTGTTTTGTTAATGGCTGCCAGTGGTACTTGGGAGCAAGAAAAAGCCATTGACACTTTTTTGGATGTAAAAATATTTTTTTGTTCCTTTGCTGCTACAAAATGAAATCTTTCATCCAGTGCAATATAGATCCTTTTTTTAAAATTGTTTAATTATTTTTTTTCTTTTTTACTCTTTATCACTACTCCTGGATTTCCTCATTCCCGGACCTGTAGTGATTGCTGTGTTCAAAGTGAGATCAATTCACTGTGTTATTTCAGAGTCAATATATGAACATTGAAAGTTAAGTGCCAGATCCCTGATAGGCAGTATGTCAGCTCGTTAGCATGATTTAATTGCACTTAACCAGTCTTCTAAATGCAATGCCAAATGATGGCTAAAAGGAGCACTTAGTGTCAGTGTCAGTTCACTCACCGGTTGCTACTTCAAATTGACTTTAGAGTCCAAAACTGTTAGAGAAACCTACTTTTTTATTTTCTTTCTCTCTATGCATTTTTGACAACTACTTTCTCTACTAGAATGTCAAAACTAAGGGCTCAGTTCCTTGTCTTTCTACTATTATTTCTTTTATAAAGACAGGCTTAATAAATGATTTAGCTTTTTTTCCTAAGGAAACCATAAGCCTCTTTCAGAACCATTCAGTCTACATGCAGCTAAAGGAGAAAGAGATGTTTAAGAGCAATTTACATAAAGAACAAATCCTTCTTGAAAATCATCTCTATTTGTTCTCTAGTCAAAGGGAAGCGGGTTCTCAAGGCATTGATAACCAGATGGTGCAGCGGCTGTATCAGATAGGCTTTGTAAGACTAAGATGTAACTTTCAAATCTAGGAAAGTACACTAGATCAAAATCAACAGCTACATCAAAGAGCTTAAAATGCTCACTTCATAATAAAAAGCTATTTACTTTTTTTTTCATAAGAAAATGATTTTTAAGGCCTTGGCTCTTTTCATCCTTAGTAACTTTTCTTTTTATAAGGTCTAACTTTTTATTTGCACAGAAAAGCTTCTTATCCAGCCCCTCATCGAGAGTTGTGACTTTTTTCTGGCCTGCCAGCTGCTTCCACGTTCTCTATGCACTTCTCTTGTTAAAGAGTGAAATGTTTTGTGATTAATTTTTTCCCTCACATGATTAATCAGTCTCTCAAAGGAAGAACTTGTCATCCTGAAATCTCACATCATCGGACCACCCCTCCCACCCAAAAAAACCCAGCCCCACAACCGGAAAGCCCAGAACCAGACCCCAAAACTAGTGTGTGATGCTTATAACTTTACCTGTATTATGCAAATGCTAGATGTGGTTATCATTCTGGATACAAGTGGCTGGCATGGGGCACACTTAGTGGTCACTTGGGGTGGCAGATATGATGTGCATGCAATTCATTGCAGCTGCACAGGTACACAAAGTAAAATGGAGGGAGAAGAGCCAAGAGAACCTTCAGAATTGCAAAAAAAATAATGGAATGGGAATTGTGGGTCTGATTAACTTTGGAAAAAGTGACAGGGTTTGGGTTGGGATTTTTTTTTTTATTAAAAAAATCCAGAAGATACTGTAACAATATTGCTCAATATTAGCTGAATATGTTCCATACTGATATGTTTTGATAGTTAGTGTTAACTTGAATATATTCTGCACTGTTAACTTAATTAGGAATGTAAGTTCAGTGTGATGCTTCTGTGTGTTTATGTATGTTTCATTTAAGGATCTAAAACCTCAAATAGCTTTTAGTACTTGGTGATGGAGAAATGGAACAAGTATAACTCTGAGGGAAATAACAAAGATAAGCTTCATACTCTGGAGTAAAAGGAGATGTAAACGGATGTTTTCATGTCATAACTTTTTAAACAAATACTGGTGGCAATGAACTTCGAAATGGTTGTGTTTCACCACTCCTATCCAATCTTTATTTTGATTTCTCTTGAATGATTGATTCAGAGGACTGCAGCCTTGAAGACAGTGAACTGAAAAAAAAAAAAAAGGAAAAATTATATAGTTCAAGATGGTGATATTGGGTGTTTTGTTTTCAGGGTGGTTTTTTTTTTTTTTTGCTTTCTTGGCTCTTCTGCTTTCAATGAAACTTGTATTTCTTGTGAAAGCAACTCAGTAAATGCTGCAAGTTGCCTTTGGCTGTTTAGCTGTCACTTTGCTCTTGTGACTTCTCAATGGCTGTTGGTTTCAGTTGGCCAACTTGCCACAAGCTGGTTTCTTTGGGATAGAAGTGTACCATGGTTTGACATCTGTTGATGCATTTAAATCCTAACAGGTTATGAACTTCACGGTGTCAAAAATATTCCTGAAGGACCAGGGCTTATTGTGTTTTATCATGGAGCTACTCCTGCTGACTACATCTATTTTATGGCTAGACTTCTTATACAATGGAAGAGATACTGCCACGTAGTAGCTGATCATTTCGTCTTTAGATTACCAGGTAACAGACTTCGTTATAAACAACCAGTTTGAGAACTCCCTTTTTTTTTTCTTTCTTTTTTATGGTGTAATTAATCAAATTAATTGTGCCACAGGAACACAGCTTTCAGAACAGACCTTCACACAAATTTAGTGGACGTGTTGAAGTACAGCTGTCTCTAACATGTTCTTTACAAACAAAAATGAGTTTATGGGACTGGCCCATGCAAGGGTGGGTCATACTCCTGCCTGGGCAATACCTTCCAATGACTCTGGTGTTTAGAAACAAGGACAAGGAGATCTTAGGAGAAACAGCTGTCTCTGTATTAATCAGTAGTAGAGACTTCAATAAGATGCTTCTTTTTTTATTAGTATAGGCAGAATGAGTGGTGTAACCCGATTAAGAAATAAACTGTTTGGAAGCAATGCCCTTAAAGTTGACAATATTAGGCTGGGGAGATGTTGTATTTTCATATCCCACCCAGTTGACTATCGTGGGCAGTGGAACATGTGTCCAAGAAGAATCTTTTTCAGAAATTCTTTTTGGAGGAAAGCTGTAGAAGTGTCCAACAAGTTTGTGTGAAACATGAGGAACATGAAAAACACGTTTAAGGCAAGATTTTGACTGGACAACCTAGTGAAAAACACTGCTGATTGGTGAAATGAATTGCATGAGGGGTTTGTTTTTTGTGTGTGTGAGATACAGTAGTACCCAGTTATTTTGCCAAGTACCCAGTTCTTTCCTTTTTTAGTTTGTGATTAAAATCTCGTAATTAATTTTGTGCATTTACAGGGCTGTTCTGTAGAGTACCGATGCTTTTAGCGGAAACCATTCCTATCAGAAAACTGTCTTTTTGCCAGTATAGTTTCATTTCATCCTTAATCCCTGAAAACTGAACTCTTTCATACTGATAACAGCATGGCTTTGCCCCTACAACTTATTCTGTCAACAGACTGGGATTTGTCAATTGATTATCAAATCTTTTGCATACAGCTGACTAATGTAACCTCTTTTGTAATTTAGATGTGGGTCCATATTATATCTGTTAATACTTAAGCACAGTTGTTTATCAAATGGGAGATTGCTTTGTTTTTCTCCATTGCTGCTTTAAAATGAGGTTCTTAGTGTGAGTATACTTATGGGTCCCCCAAATATCACCAGCACAGTTGTTTATCAAATGGGAGATTGCTGTTTTTCTCCACTGCTGCTTTAAAATGAGGTTCTTAGCGTGAATATACTTATGGGTCCCCTGAATATCACTGAGTAGCACTTCAGAGAGATCTGGCTGAATGGTCTTGAAGAGCTGGGTTTAGCAGCAGAACATCTGTCTAACAGCTGGTTACCACAGGCATTCCTTGGGGATTGAAACTGGGACCAGCACTGGTTTCTGTCTTTATTCCACACCTGGATGAGGGGTTGGAGTGCGCTCACAGGACGTTCACTGATGATACCAAACTGGGGGAGCAGTCAATGCACTGGGGGTTAGAGCTGGTATTCGGAGTGCCTTCGCAGAAACAAACTGGCAGAAACAACATGAAGTCCAGCAAAAGCAAAGGTGAAGTTGTGCATCTGGGATGGAGCAATCCCACATGACAGTACCCTGTGTGGAAGGTGGCTTTGCAGGAAGAGACTTTGGCATTCTAGTTGAATATGAGTCAGCAGCGTGCCCTTGCAGCAAAGAAGATGAACTCCAAGCTGAGCCTCTTTTAGCATGAATGTAGACAGTGGTTTGAGTGAAGAGGCTTTTCCCTCCGCTTGGTACCCGTGTGAGCATATCTTGCAGATTCTAGTTGAATATGAGTCAGCAGCGTGCCCTTGCAGCAAAGAAGATGAACTCCAAGCTGAGCCTCTTTTAGCATGAATGTAGACAGTGGTTTGAGTCAAGAGGCTTTTTCCCTCCGCTTGGTACCCGTGCAAGCACATCTTGCAGTATGGACCTTATAACAGCCTTCCAGTACCTGAAGGGGGCTACAGGAGAGATGGGGAGGGACTCTTGGTCAGGGAGTGGAGCAATAGGACAAGGGGTAATGGTTTTTAAACTGAAAGAGGGGAGATTTAGATTAGATATTGGGAAGGAATTTCTCACTCTGAGGGTTGTGAGGCACTGGAACAAGTTGCCCAGGGAAGCTGTGGATGCCCCATCCCTGGAGGGGTTCAAGGCCAGGCTGGATGAGGCTTTGAGCAACCTGGTCTGGTGGGAGGTGTCCCTGCCCAGGGCAGGGGGGTTGGAACTCGATGATCTTTGAAGTCCCTTCCAACCTGAACCATTCTATGATTCTATGGTGTCCAGTACAAGATGGATTTTGACACAGTAGAGTGTGTTTGGTGGGTGATGGGGGGCTGGAGCACACAATGTATGAGGAGAGGCTGAGAAAACTGGATTTGCTTGATCGGTCCCAGATAAAGGTGGCAGAAGATGTTATTGTTGTCTTCAGGAACCTAACAGAAGTGTGCCGAGAAGAGGGAGTCAGACTCTACTCTTGGGTGCACAGTGATAGAAAGAGAAGCAATAGAGGCAAGTTGCAACACAGGAAATTTTGATTAGACGTGTGGAAAGAAGTTTTACTGTGAGGGTGATCAGACACATGAACAGATTGTCTAGACAAGTTGGGGAATCTCCATCCCTGGAGACTTTCAAAACTCAGCTGGGTGAGGCCCTGAGCAGCCTGATCTAGTTGGACCCGCTTTGAGTGGGAGGTTGGACTAGATGACCTTCAGAGGTCCCTTCCAACCTACATAATTCTCTGGTTCTGTGAAGACAGCACAAAGAGCTCAGAAAACATTCTGGATTGTGTTTCAATTTCTGCACAACATTCTATGCCTGGAAACCCAGATAGATTCCACTTCTCTTGTGAATCAAACCAGAAAGACACTCATAATTTTGTCCTAGTACTAAGACTGCCTGATTTTGATGAAGTCTTCAGATGAAGTCTTCGGTGCCTTTTCAGAAGGTGTTTTAGTTGACCAAAAGTTATTATGCTCAGTGCAGGAGAAATGGGGGGGGTTGGGTCTGGGGAGTCTGTAGGCTGTTAGACACACTTGGATTGGATAGTTGGGGAATCTCCATCCCTGGAGACTTTCAAAACTCAGCTGGGTGAGGCCCTGAGCAGCCTGATCTAGTTGGACCCGCTTTGAGTGGGAGGTTGGACTAGATGACCTTCAGAGGTCCCTTCCAACCTACATAATTCTCTGGTTCTGTGAAGACAGCACAAAGAGCTCAGAAAACATTCTGGATTGTGTTTCAATTTCTGCACAACATTCTATGCCTGGAAACCCAGATAGATTCCACTTCTCTTGTGAATCAAACCAGAAAGACACTCATAATTTTGTCCTAGTACTAAGACTGCCTGATTTTGATGAAGTCTTCAGATGAAGTCTTCAGTGCCTTTTCAGAAGGTGTTTTAGTTGACCAAAAGTTGTTATGCTCAGTGCAGGAGAAATGGGGGGGGGGCGGGTCTGGGGAGTCTGTAGGCTGTTAGACACATTTGGATTGGATCACTTAATGATCCTTCTGGTTTTATGATTATTGAATCTGCTATGAATAGCTGTGAGGAATGGCTTGTGCCGTGAGTCTGAACCTCTTAGTCTTGAAAGATACAGCTTGGTAAGTTGTGGAGGGGAATCTGATCTAACAGGAGACCTCCTGTAGATAACTGGAGATTCCTGTCGGGCATTGCCTAATGCATCTTTCTTTCACTTTGATGCAAAAGGAGATTATTTCATTGTCTCAGTTTATATTGTGTAAATACTATCTGTGCTTCTGTTGCTTGCATTTTGCAGCAGAAAGCTATGAAGTATGGTCCTGCAGCTTCTTTTCTTTCTTTTTCTTTTAAATACTGGAGGTTAGTCAAAGAAAAACACTCCAATGGTTTCTGGTTCTTTTAGATTCTTATCTATGTAAATCTCAGGAGTACAAGCACAGTGAGGACTGAGATTTCATTTGTGTTCTTCTCCATCACCCTCTCCTATAGTATGGGCCATGTCTGCTTCCTCCAGTTACCTGGGGAGTCCTCTTTAAAAGATTGCCTGCTATTTTAGGCATCTGAGACAGTCCTTTCCTATAATGTCCCAGAGGAAAGGAGCTGTGGCTTCTTGTCTGTTACACACACGAGGTGGTGCAAAGGGTCTTGTGGACTAGATGTTCTGGAGATAACCATGCATGGAGGCACCTACAACTGTGGAAGGTTGGATTCAATGGTCTAAATGATTCCTCTCTCTCTGTGGTCCTAAAGGCCAACCACAGAAAAATGATGACACCTTTGCCATCTTGCATCCAGGTAGCTGACAGCCCCTGATGCTATGGTCACTGGGACTAAGTTAGAGAAACGTGTATAGTGCAGTTCCTGAGATAAGCATTAAATGTGTTACTGGGTACTCTCCAAAGGGTTTTCAAACCTTGGTGAGGACACAGTGTTGTGGAAGACAGTTGAAGAGTGTGCTGGGGCCAAGGTTGAACTGTGGAATAAAACTAATTTTGAACTTTGTACTTGAAAACATTAGCATCCCTTCATGCTCTGGAAGGCTGAAAGGGTGTGTTTAGATAATTTTGAGAATTGTTTTGTGGTTTCAAGTGGAAAAATAGGTTCTTGGTCACTTTCATGCAACAGCCAGCTACTACCCCGGTGTTTCTTCTGACTCCATGATGGCCTTTGCCTTGGGCACAGAGTACCCTGGCTGTCCCTTCAGGGCCACCTCACTGGTTTCTGTCTCTCTGCTGCTCTGTCGCAGCCAGATTCTTCCTCTTTCCTGCTGGAGCAGAGATACTGATGGTAACACATGATCTGCTGGCTGGGCTAGGAGGTACAGTCAGAATATAAGGTTTAAAAGTCAAGGGGGGAAATATAGCAGAGAAACATTGTGAAGACTCGAAACCCCACCCGATCGCTCTTCTGTATTATGCATTTTTGCCTGTATTTGGTTTATGTTCTGTTGGGGTTTTTTTCTGACCTACAAACTAGACAGACTCATGGTATTGCTCTGTCACACAGACCCCCCCATCCCTTCTGCAGCATGTCCAATGCAGAAAGGAAAACTGTCTTCACACCTTCTGCTTCCTTGGAATCTCTGTTCCTGCTTGGCTCAACACTTCTCATGCCTGTTTTGTCTCTCTCCTGAATTCATGGACAGAAAGGGCTTAGAGACAGGCAGCTTCCTATCACCAGGTACATTCCAGAGAGCTTTAATTAATTTGGGAATGTAAAGCGTGGTTAAAACCAGCGATTTAAGATCCCACAAGCAAAGCACCTGAGAGAAATTCAGTTACTCCAGGAAAACTCTATTTCAGCTGTCCTCTGTGCAACCACTGCTAGGTGAGGACCACCAGTGTCACCTGCAGTGTTCCTGGCAGGCACAGCAGAATAGGAGATGGTGTAACAGACCTTGTGCTCCGTTGTCATGCTTACGGACAGATCCCGATGGTGTACAGATAGAGATCAGGAGTAATTATACTCACACCAACTACAAAGACTTGTTAGAGATCAGAGTTTAGTTAAGAATAAACTAATGACATGCTGCCTCATGCTCCCCTTCCCAACCCTTAGTTTCTGCGGGTTGTAAGAGAAGACAGACCTCTGTCTTCTTAACAGTATTCGGACTCTTCTTCAGTGTGTGTGCGTGTGTTCATAGTAACAACTAGTCATTTGTTAACCTGAGGTTAAAAAAGTGAAGCTCTGTTATTGAAGGGCAAACTTGACTAGGTCAGTTCTGTGTCCTTGTCTTTGCCTCAGTGGAAAACTTCAAGAAACACAAGTAATCTTTCCCATACTGCTCAGTCACCTGAAGTTCCCATTTTGGCATGCAGTACTCATAAATAATGGATATATTTAAAATTTATTGAACTAAATGAACATGATCAATTGCCTGCACGCAGAGGTTTTTGCTCGTTATGTTCTTTCACATTAGACTCGTCGTCTAAATTGATCACATGTTATTGAAGGGCAAACTTGACTAGGTCAGTTCTGTGTCCTTGTCTTTGCCTCAGTGGAAAACTTGAAGAAACACAAGTAATCTTTCCCATACTGCTCAGTCACCTGAAGTTCCCATTTTGGCATGCAGTACTCATAAATAATGGATATATTTAAAATTTATTGAACTAAATGAACATGATCAGCTTCCTGCACGAAAAGATTTTTGCTCATTATGTTCTTTCACATTAGACTAGTTGTCTAAATTGATCAGGTATGCGCCGGTTTGATGCTTGTAAGCAAATTTGTGATTTCTGCTGTTTCTTGAGGAGTAGGATCAGTATGACCTTTCAAATTCAAGATGATATGAGGAGTTTATGTAACTTCACAGATAAAAATTTCAGTAAATGAAAAACATTAACCTAAGATGAATATACCCAGTCCAGGCTTGCCAGATACCTCTTGGTGTGACTGGCACCATCCAGGTACTCACAGGCCGAACCAGGGAGTCAATTCCTGCAGGGATCTGCGACACAAAGAATGCTGAGTTTTCTTCATCATTCTCCTTGTCGTGCACAGACTGCTCCTTGTTTGCCAAAGTTAACAAAACCAAAAAAAAAAAGTCACAACAATTTGCTGGGATTTTCTCTTGTTGCATTTTATGGAGCCAGCACCCTGGGTCTGGCTTCATAACCCCTTTGAAGGGGCACATGAAAGGTGGCACAGAGCACTTGCCAGTTTGTTCCAGTTTAGCACCTGGCTTTACAGACAACAAGCACTTGGCTTTACAGACAAAAAGCCACTGGAAACTCTAACTCTTCAACCTCTTAGACCAAAATTTATAAACAGGGCTTAATACTTCAGACTCTCTAGAAACATGTTTAATTTGGGATTTTTCTGTTCATTTTTGGGAATCTGTACTCAATGGCAGTATGAATGAATACTTTCCGAATTAATATTCTCTTACCCTACAGGTTTTAAAATATTACTTGATGTACATGGAGTTCTGCATGGACCAAGAGAAGAATGTGTTGCTGCTCTGAAGAAGGGCTGTCTGCTGGCCATTGCCCCAGGTGGAGTTCGGGAAGCACTCTTTAGTGATGAAATGTATACTATTATCTGGGGTGATCGGAAGGGCTTTGCTCAGGTGGCCATTGATGCAAAAGTGGTAAGTATGGCTGATGACAGAAGAGAAGCGAAGAATTAGTACTTTATTCCAGGGAAAGCTGTTTTGATAATCATACATTTGGTGTTACAATACTGAGTGTCACGGGTATGGTCTATTTGTTGTCATAACTACATGTCAAGGCTCTTCATGCTGCTTTCAATAAGAAGGCTTTGGAGTCAGCTAAGAATAGTGTGGTCAGGAAATCCAGAGTTTGAAAGAATGAGAGATGAAATCCAGGATGGTTTCTACAGTACAAGCTCGTGCTGTTTTATACATACCTGGTCAGGATTGTGATCACTCAACCCCTGACTGGGATGGTTGGAAGCAACTGTACGTCAACATTTCTGTCACTGAACCATAGTGTGTCCCAGCACAGCCCAGACTCACTGGCACTATGTGCTGTACTGGCATTTTATAGTAGCAAGGGATGTCCAGGGCAGAGAGCAGCAGCAGGAGATGCTGTTCACTAATGTGAACTGGCTCTTTGGTTCTAATACATAGCATTGTGCTTGGTCAGCAGGCAGATAATTATTCAAATGGGGCCAACTGTGAAAGGCACGTAAGGGTATGATATATTTGAATTGTAACTATTTTAATAATCGTTCCAGAGTCCCTCTCATTCTATATTCGTACTTGAAAGATGTGTGCATATGTCTAGGTCTGCATATACCTAATCTGAAAGTAAGTCTCACACCAAGCGTTTTATATTTAGGTACTGTCAAAGAGAGACTTGTTAAATCTCTGGATTTTATACAGAAATAGAATACTTTTAAGACCCAATTTTAAGAGTGTGTCACTTTTCTCAGGAGGAAAATAACACTGTTTAAACAGGGTGTTTTCAACAGATTGAGATTTTACCAATGTATTATAATGGCGGATGAAAGGCCATACTTGGGACTCAACTATGATTGTACTAGTTAGATTTATTTTTTGGAATATGTGTTCAGTTCCCTTTATGCACTCACAAAGGTCTTGCAGCTTCATTCTCTCCCTAAAATCCTGAGAGATGCAGTAGGATAGGAATACTATCGGAGGCAGGCTGAAAGTGGGGAAAATATCTTTATTTAGATTGAAGATTAACTTTAAGTCACCTTTAATCATGAGCATCACTCCCCATGGAAAGAAAAATGTATCTAAAACTGGGACCTTCAACTTCTTGAAGTTGTCTCATTTCAACAGTTTGCCAGAATTGTTGTCATATAAACCGACTTGGTACATTCAAAAATCTCTACCTCTGTGTCAGAAGTAAGATGTTCCAAGATGGTTCTAGAATAAAGAAGTTTGTTACCATTCAGTTTAGGCAGCTTCACTTCTTTTTATTCTCTAGAGTTGCATTGGATTATTCACAGACTACCCTCCTGCCCTCCCGCAGAAAAACCCCAACCACCCTAACTTGATACCTGTTTCATTTACTAGCTCATCTCCATGCTTGTTTAAAAAACTTTGAAAGAATCTGAATGTTTGAAAATCTCATAAAGAGTTCTGTATTTCCGTACAGTGAGTACATACTATAAAATGATATTTAAAAACTTCATGTAGTACTCAACCCCCTCCCGGCTCTTGTAAATCTTGACAGCTTTTGGCAAGTTCAAAAACAGCAACAAAAACTTGAAATATTCAACACCATTCCAAATATTCATCAGCAGAAATAAATCATGGGCATGCATTGAATATGACACATCATGCATGAAGCAATTCAGTCACCAGAGCAGAGATGAATCAGACAAGTTTAGGGTCTCAGTCTTGTGAATTCTTCCCTTTGACCATAGCTACAACTTAAATTAAGAGGTTTAACCACTGAAATCACAGCTGTGCAAACGCTGCTAGATGAGGGGAGGCCTAAGTGCTCCATAGGTTCTGAAATCCTGGACTGCTTTGGAAAATGGACTTACTGAAACAGCTGAAAATGGACTTACTGAAACTTACTGAAATCTCTTGGTAGTCTCCAGCTTTAGACCTCATGGCAGAAGTCGCAGAAAAACTTAAAAATACTGGTTTTGCGCTCTGTATGTCCTTGTCTGAGAAACACTTCTGAAATTAACTTGCTTGTTGGGTGTAAGTGAGGTAGAAGTATTTTAGATAGTGCTATTTTCCTTAAATTCTTAATTATTTTTTTTCCCTCCTAGCCCATCATTCCTATGTTTACACAAAATGTTCGAGAAGGCGTTAGGACATTAGGAGGAATAAGTAAGATATTTTCTATTTTTTTTTGTAGTTTTATTTTCCCATGTGTGTTTAGCCTATCTCTTTAGAAATAATCCCCATATAAATTTGAGATTTGACACAGCCTTGTTTCTGGAGTTTTTCCTCTCTGGTAGAATTGAGAGATGTTGTTAAGATTTAATATCAGAATTAGATGTGGTATTGGCTCATCTAGGTTACGCTCCACAAAACAATGTGCCTTCACAGAAGCAGTAGAAGAAGGGAAAAAGGAACCAGAAAAAGGCAAATAGATTTAGAGCACTCTTTTTTTTCTCTGCTTATATCTGCTGGACTAACTCTAGGTTTTCTGCTGTCTGTTAAGAAGCAAAGCAAACAGGGGTTTTGCAAGGGACGTGTAATTTCTTTAAATCTCTTCCTAAAGCTCTGTGCTTACACTTCTACCTGTGCTTAAACTTGGGATGGTTTGAAATGTTTGTAATCTGTAGTTGGTCTACTGCTCAGCACTAGAGCTGGGGTTCCTCACAAAACCTTGCATTTGCTCTTCTCTTTCCTCATCTCTGTGGGACTTCCAGCCAGCACACGAGGAGATGGGTGTACGTCTGAAGGGTTCACCTCTGGGACAATTAGATGCCCACATTTCTGCTGATTTGCTAGTATTAATCCCCCCCTTTTGTTTTTTTGTTTTCTCCAATTTGCTGTCTAGCAGAAGGGGCCTGAACGGTCTCCTCCGTGCCGCATGTTCTGCCTCAAGTGTGGCATCATCATCTTCATCAGAGGACTGCAGGGCAAAACAGTTGTGTTTCTCTCCCCCTCTAATTAAAAGCTATATATTGCACGGAGAAAGCCAAGGCATCAGATGTAGATGTGCAGAATAATTCACACATTTGTCAGATTCTATAAAAATTATTGCTGCGTTCAGGAGAATCTTCCCAAACCAGCAGAAATTGAAGCCAGAATCGTTCATGCTACTTGCATTTCCCAGCAGAAGCACTGGAGGAATTGAATTCTGTTGATGACTGGAGGCGTTACTCCCGTTTCAGTAGCTTTGGAATAGTCTTTTTCCTTATAGGTTGCGTTTTCTCTCTTTTTATATTGTTTCACTGCAACCAGTGTGAGATCTGAAAGAGCAATTTGGTGTTTTAGCACGGCTGGCCTTAAGGCAGATAAGACTATTTCTGATCTTCTAGACCTCAGTGGGACTGAACAGAAACAGTCTTCCAATACTGATTTCTTAGGCTAATCTGTAAAATTAGCTGAACTGTGACCTGTATTGTGTAGTGTTCCCTTTCTTCTCCAGGGAGGCAGCTACTGGATTTTGCTCCTCTTCTTCCTTCTCTTTGCAGCTATTCTGGAGGGGAGATTTCACGCCAGGTTAGGGTGGAGACAAGTCAGATGTTAGCATTAATGCAGCTTTTAGGAAATGAAAGCCAAGGGTAGAACAGCACTTGAGATGACAAGTTGTTTGAGAATCTGGGTCAGTGGCTGGATTACTTGACAAGCCAGTTTCAGTTTTAAAGACATACTGGAGAAAAAAACCAAAGTTTACAGATTAATCTCAATCTCTCTCTCTTTTTTTTTTTTCCCCCTTCTCTCTCTCCTCTGCATTCTCCCTTTTCCTTCTTCTGCTCTCCCTTTCCTCCCTAATTTTTTTTCACATTAGAAATATTTAGGTCACTATATGAACGTATTAGGCTGCCAATAGTTCCTTTGTACGGTGGGTTTCCAGTCAAGCTTCGTACTTTTATTGGAGAACCTATTCCATACGATCCAAATGTAACTGCTGAGGAACTTACTGCAAAGGTAAGATAGATATGCATATATATATATATATTTGAAGTATTGACTGTTGTGACAGAAAAGGCTGGAATATTCTTGTCAAATAGTTTCTGCCTTAAATCTAGTTATAGAAGTTGGTGGAATCATGGTAAGCTTTGGACTTGCTGAACCCTGATTGCCCTTCTTTAATGCTGGTTTTTTATTACTACACCTTGCAGATGTTCTAGGCCTTTTCAAGTCAGTACTGCACCATATATTTGCTTTGAGAACCAACTTGCTGTAGGGAATGAAAAGTTCAGTCAGATAAGACTGCTCTGGGTTGATAAAGGCACAAGCACCTCACCCAGTGTCCTGGTTCTTGGTCTTCTCAGAAAGATACTAATGAAGCCTTTCAAATATAATAAATCTGTGTTCACAAACTGTTGAAACTCCATACAATAAAAAAATTAAGGTAAATCATTTCACTGCTTTGTACAGTGTGCAAGGGACCAGAAATGGAAACAACTTCTCACCCAACAAATTAAATTTTGAATGATCCCCTAGTTCAGATTTAGGTGGTTTATAGAAAGGATTGTCAGGTTATGGATTGACCATGCAGGTGTCAGTTCAGTTCTCTCTCCTCATCTGTTTACCCTCTCATTAGATCTTTGCAAAGTGACATCTTAAAATGTTTCTCTGCATTAATCTTATGCCCAGCTGATGGAGTTCACAAACTGTTGAAACTCCATACAATAAAAAAATTAAGGTAAATCATTTCACTGCTTTGTACAGTGTGCAAGGGACCAGAAATGGAAACAACTTCTCACCCAACAAATTAAATTTTGAATGATCCCCTAGTTCAGATTTAGGTGGTTTATAGAAAGGATTGTCAGGTTATGGATTGACTATGCAGGTGTCAGTTCAGTTATCTCTCCTCGTCTGTTTACCCTCTCATTAGATCTCTGCAAAGTGACATCTTAAAATGTTTATCTGCATTAATCTTATGCCCTGGTGATGGGAAACTGCTTGTTTATTTTGGGGGTTCAGCCTGACAGAACTTGAGAACTGTTGGCTTTGAGGGCAGAAGGTGTGTTTAAATGACTTTCAGACATACTTTGGCATCTTACATTTGTGCCAGCCCTCACTTGCCTCTGACTTAAGTGCAAATTCTGCTGGATAAGGCCCCTGGAACGTGAATCCCTTGGAGTGATTTTACAGTTGTAGCTCATGTTTCAGGCTGTGGCACAGTATACATTTGCCCATTATATATAGAAAAAAATTAAGCTCAATTTTTTTGAACGTGAATCCCTTGGAGTGATTTTACAGTAGTAGCTCGTGTTTCAGGCCGTGGCACAGTATGCATTTGCCCATTATATATAGAAAAAATTTAAGCTCAAATTTTATACCTAATAGACATTTTAGATCTGTAGAGACAGAGGACCAGACACCTAATAGACATTTTAGATCTGTAGAGACACACAGGACCAGAGCTATAAAGAGATGTGGGGAGGAACCTTCTCCCAGGACTGAACAGTTGATCACATACTTCATGTAAACAGGGGGAGCTCGTACCGAGGCTCAGTTTTCCCCTTGCTGACCCCGGCTTTACAACGGCAAATAGTTCTCTGTTTTGTCTCTGGCTTTAAGCACTGAGCAGCCTGTGCTTCTCCAGGCAGAACAGGAAGGTTGTACGAGCCAAACGTGTAGAAGCAGCAAAGTTCTTGCACGCTGGGAGAGCGTTACTGGTGCAAACCTGAGCTCAGGCAGAACCTCCTGAGTTGCAGCACGGCACGCAGGCACCGACACGCTTTATGGATCTAGGTCTCTGCATTCATTTACTTCAGCGTCATTTGACTATTGCATATTCACTAATAGAGCTTGTGAGCACAACCACCAGAGATAAAAGATACTGGTTGGTTTGTCTGGTTTCTTGGCAGGGGTCCCACGGACACCTCCTCTGGGTTTAAATATGGAAAAATGGCTTTTTGAACTCAGCAGCGGTTCTGCGACATTTAAACGGATGAAAAAGAGTCTAAAGATTGTGTTAATGTAGGAACAATATAAAGATGACTTAATCTAACCAAAAACTTTTGTCTTTTCTTACAGACAAAAGCAGCAGTCCAAGCTCTAATAGACAAACATCAGAAAATACCAGGAAATATATTTAGGGCTTTAATGGAACGATTTCAAACACAAAAGAAAGAAGATTAAGGTCCTCTGAAGAAACGACTATTTGGTTATAATATTCTTATAGTCATATTTGTAACTTATTCATTCTTCTAATAATAGGTTTTAAATACTGTCCTAATGATACTGCTGTATAATTTAAGATACAAGACACTTTCCCTTCCTCCTGTCCGGTATCAAGCTCAGGAACCCAAACTTCAAATCATTCACAACGAGGCAAAGCTTAGTTTTTGATAAATGCATTCCTAACTTGAAAGTGGCTTTTTTTTTTCCAGAAATGGTACCACAAGTCTTTACGTACACATTCTTTGGTCGTTTGTTCTTTTTTTTGTTCCCCCCCTCCCCGAGGTTTCTCTGTAACCCCAATGTTAGACCTGCTGTAGAGCTGGAGTCTTACTGTCTTGACCATCACCGCTGTCAGTAGGTTTTTGCCGGCCAGATCGATGCCCTCGAGCATTTATAAAACCTTTCTTGAGGTTGTTAATCCTGGTGCTGCTGGAAAACAGTCAGAAAGAGTGAAAATGGATTGGAGAACTGAAGTGAACCCGAGGTGGTTTGTTACAGAAGCCACTCGGCTGCGGCGATGGAGAACCCTACAGGGCAGCTGCTGTTCCAGGCTGAGCCACGCTGGGTACCTGCCCCTGGGGAGAGACTCCTCCTCTTTGCTTCTCAGTCAATCTGCAAATTCTCCTTTGAAAGAACGGGCCAAGCATTTAATCTTTTAAAAAGTGCAAATGAGAGGACTGTTTAGTAACGTAAGCTCATGAAGCTTCATTTTGAAGGAAAGAAAACATTAGTACAACATTCCTTTTAAAAGTAGTAGCTCTTCTGAAAAAACAGGACAGACATTCCTAAATACCCTTTGAATCTAATATATGTGTAGACTCTTAAACATCCATATTCTTCAAACACAGTTATTTATGTAAGTTATTAAATCAGGGTCGAGAGGGAAATCCTATATACTTTCCTTAAGTGAAAACAATTGAATGAACAGGAAAGAGTTGCAGGATTGGGCTTCTGAGCACTTACAGTAAATTATATTATGATATTTTTTCTGAACTAAGGCCCATGCTTTTATTGTCCAAATAGGAAATACCTGAAATATTTCTTCTGATTGTCAGCAAGTTTGATCTGTGGTTCTTAAATTAACATCTGGGAACTTTTTAGTTTTGGGATGAACAAAATCCTTAAGGAAAGACAAAAGAGGTTTTTGCTCTATTACGTGGCCTCCTTTCAATATTGTTGGGGTTTGACCCTTTCTTAAACAAAAAAAACAACCCAGAAAACCAAAAACCCAATAACAAAAAAAACCCCAACTTCTAAAAAAGTAGTTGTACTCAATTTAGTATTCATTCCTCCCACCAGTTGAGCATATTTTGCTTTATACTCTTTTAAATGTATAAAGTAGTGAGATTATGTAAGTGTGTGTGGCTGACGCCCTGTGTTAGAAAAATATCACTTTATGGGAAAGAGTCTAGAAATTATGGTTTACACAAAGCAAAAAGCTTACTTATTTTATCATGTTATTTTATATCAAAAGCATTTTCTGTGGTGTTGAATTAATTTTTTTAAAGCTGGGCAAAGAATCATGTCATGTAAAAGCAAATGTCCATGCAGAGGTTTTTTTTAAAATGACGTGGGTTTGATTTGAAGGCAAGATTGTGTCCTTTTTAACTTTCAAGTTAATTTATCAGGATGTTTTTTAAAAAAAAAAAAAATTATGTTAACCCAATGTGTCATTAAAGTGAGAATGCCAAATTCCTACAGTGGAGAATATCTTAAGTATGACTTTGTTTTTACTGTCTGTCTGGAGGAAAATGCCCATCGCTCTGGAATTGTGAAATTCCCAAAGGCAGCCGAACGTATTGTGTGTTGAGGTTGTGTATATGGAAAGCTCAGTCTAAAAGGTTCTGACAGACATGGACAGACATTTGCCCGCTGAGATTTTGTAAAATTTATTTGACTAAATGCATTTGATGCAGTTTTGTCCCTTTAAGTATTCAACGATGAGTATAAAAAACAAAAAATGAAGGGCAGTATTGGTACTCTTTAAGTGTTCATATTTGTATAGGCCTTTCATATTTATTTCTATATATAAAAAAAAAATATGTATAGAAGACATCTTTCAAATAAAATTGACAACTGGAACAGGCTTCTGAAGTTTTGTGTTGTGTTTGTAGTAAATGAAATGATACCTGTTAAACCTTCCATGGTTTTGAGGAGCACGTAATACCCTTTGGAAGCTGTTGCCTCACGTTTCAATAGGACTGGCAGCATCAAAGCCCCAGAATGAATGAATTAAAGGGAAAATAATTCAGACAATAGTGGAATAAAGGACAAAAGTCACATAAACAACAGGGTGTGAGTTTTAGTAGTTGTAATGAGTGCTGCAGGAGGCTTTAACAGGCATTGCAATACCACTTCAGTTACGTTTAAGATTCCGTAATAGAAAATACGTCATAAATACTGACTAGTAAAGGTTTATTTAGATATATTTGATGTGTGAATGATTGCCTACTTTATTTTATTGGAAAAAAAAAAAATGAAATAAAGACCTGGAGGGAGACTCAGCCACTCAGGTGACTTGTTTTACAGTGTGTCAGGCAGAAGTATTATAAGGGAATTTTAGCAGCCTTAGGCTGGAGCGCTGATTGCCTGCTTACCCTTGGGATATGCTGAAGACATTCCAGGTTTCTCCATGCAAACAGCAGAGCCAGGATGTGCATTTTTTAGGCTGTTTGGAAGTAGAAATCGACCGACTGCTGTACCGGCGGGTATTTTGTCATTATCTCTCAGCAAGACCCGAATCTCCTGTTGGCGTAATAGCAGGGCTCAGCCTGAATATCTATTATTAGGATGCTTTCATATGAAATTAATCGCTGCGAATGCAAGGTTGGAGCAGTTAATCAGCACTGTCAACGCGACGGTGTGGTTCACCCGGTGCTGGGTTTGCTGTCCTGGTGTACCATTATGTTGCTTCATCCCCTTGCTCTGTAGGGACAGACACAGCCTTAACGCGTCAGCCTCGCGGTGCCTAATCCTGATTAAGCCCGTCGTAGACAGTAGATTGGGGGGGATTTTGTTGGTGCTATTTTTGCATCAAAAAATTACGGCACCGAAAGTAAACGTGGAAGGGCAGGGAATTGCTGCAGGAGTGTAGTAGCACAGAAAATACATAGAATCATAGAATCATTGAGGTTGGAAGAGACCCTCGGGATCATTGAGTCCAACCATCTACCCTACTCTACAAAGTCCTCCCCTACACCATGTCCCTTAGCACTGCATCTAAACGGCCCTTAAACACAGCCAGGGATGGTGACTCCACCACCTCCCTGGGCAGCCTGTTCCAATGCCCTATCATGTTAACTAAGATAACTGTGTCCAGCTTTGGAGTCCTCAACACAGAAAGGACATGGACCGGCTGGAACAGGTGCAGAGGAGGGCCACAAAGATGATCAGAGGGATGGAGCACCTCTCCTATGAGGACAGGCTGAGGGAGCTGGGGTTGTTCAGCCTGGAGAAGAGAAGGCTCCGGGGAGACCTTAGAGCAGGCTCTCAATACCTGAAGGGTGCCTATAGAAGAGCTGGGGAGGGACTCTTTGCCAGGAGGTGTAATGACAGGACAAGGGGAAACGGTTTTAAATTGGAAGAAAAAAGATTCAGATTAGATCTCAGGAAGAAATTTTTTACTGTGAGGGTGGTGAGGCACTGGAACAGGTTGCCCAGAGAAGCTGTGGCTGCCCCATCCCTGGAGGGGTTCAAGGCCAGGCTGGATGGGGCTTGGAGCAATCTGGTCTGGTGGGAGGTGTCCCTGCCCAGGGCAGGGGGGGTTGGAACTCGATCATCTCTAAGGTCCCTTCCAACCCAAACCATTCTATGATTCTATGATAAACCTCCAAAATGTGCCTGCTGAATGTTCATGAGATAATCTGATGTCACTTATTGCTTCTGTTCACTCCATGTCTAGTTGCCAGCAAAGACAATGTGTTTCTGCAATAACAGCTCAGTGATGCTAACGCCTTTTTTGCATATACACTTTTTAAAATTCAGAACTAGCTGAAACGAATGGTAGTCTCAGCACAAATTACTTTTCCCATCTTGGAGTTTTTGCATTATTTGCTTGTCTGCTTTTATTTTTTGAGTAATTTTATTTTACACAGACGGCTGCAAATTTACCACTTACTGCCTTGAGTTTTGTCACAGCATGCGTTGAGTGCATGCCCTGTGTCCCTTCCTGAAGCATGTTGAGATTGTTACCGTGAGCACTTCGTGTCAAAAAATTGGTCACAAAAGTGTAATAAACTTCTGAACTGTGGGGAGAGTATTTTTAAAACCAGAAGTGTTTGCTCACACTTCTGTGTGCATGGAACGTTACAAGAGGGTAAGATGCCATTTGGAATTAACATCAGGCTGGATATATAAAGCAGACCCAATATTTTTTTACCCCACCGTGGGGCTGAGTTGGGTGTTTTGGAGCAGATGACAGTCCCACCAGGCCTTGTGTTGCAGCCAGGGCATGAGAGAAAGCCCCACCACTCCCTGCTCTCCGTGCTGGTCAGGGAGCACAACGCGGGTCTTCACATCGCCTTTGGCCCCCGTTTTCCAGCTGAAACCACTGCAGGCTCTGGAAAACATGAGATGGTGAAGTTCTAACAAAATATAGAGGGGAGTATTGCGTTATTCAGAGAAGATCTTAAAAAAAAAAAAAAAGAAAAAGATAAAAGGCACTGAGTGGAACCTATCCTAATTTTTACCTAATCCCTTTAAATGGGAAATGGGATTTTTACCTAATCCCTTTAAATGGGAAACAGAATGTGCCAGACATCGGGGATGGTAGGAATTTAAAATTCTGTGTCATCTTCACAGAGAATTTGTGGCAGAGGGATTGGGATGAATCCTGTTGCAGATGTGGCTGATCTTCACGTACTCCAGTCTGGGGTTTGCTTTACTTTTTCTTCCAACCGTGTTTTCTGGTTGTCTATGCTGAGCTCGGAGCAGCTCCAGTCTTCCTTCAGTTAATTCTCGAGTGGGAACAGCTGTGTTTAAGGGCCGTTTAGATGCAGTGCTAAGGGACATGGTGTAGGGGAGGACCTTGTAGAGTAGGGTAGATGGTTGGACTCGATGATCCCAAGGGTCTCTTCCAACCTCAATGATTCTATGATTCTATGATTCAGTGGGAACAGAAATGGAGACCCCAATGAGCATTTGCTCGTTCTCTTTTTGATCTATTTGAAGTCTACCAAAGGTACCTAGAAACACTTCTGAGCTCCAGTTTCAAGCGCTGTGATGGAGCTGCCAGCTCTCCAGACACTTCTGTAATGATCAGATTTCTCCTTACCACTAGTAAAAACCCCTCTCCTGTCAGATCCACCAAAGCTTTTGAAGTGTCCTGTCCATTCAGAAATGGATTAATTTTCTTTTGCCTGTCATGCAGTGGATTCGGTTTCTTAAGTAGCGGGCGCAGCGGTTGCAAGCGTTCTCGGTTAATGCTTTTCACCCCAGATTTCCACATTCAGGAACAGACTTTTTGGTGTCTTGATCCTGCTCTGCGAGAACAAGCTTGTGGGAAAAGGCTGGCTGCAACTTGGCTCAGTCCCTGAAGGCATTAATGAAAGTGTAAACCAAGCCCCACAAGTGAAACAAGCGCACACAACCCCCAAATTAGTTTTGAAATCCTAATTCTGAACGGTCTTGAGTCACATTTAGAGAAACAAAACTTCCTGACTCCTCTTCCTCTTTGCAAACCCTGGCACCTGGGCAGGAGCACGGCAGCCCTGGTGGTGGTTTCAGGACCGAAGTTGCCATCGGAATTGAGCTGTGGGACTCTTTTTTGGGAGGAGCAGCCTCAGGAGAAGACCTCAGCAGCCCTCGGGGCCTGTCTGGAGCAAACTATAAGCCAGTAAGTTGGCTCTAGTGGAAGGTGTGTGGTCATCAGTGTTGTGTTAGGCTGTGTTAGGCTGGCTCATCAGGTAGCAGCAGCATGTCAAGGGTTGCTGTTTCCCCTCAAAAGCAAGCTAGCATTCATGCTTGTTGCCCAGTTCCTCTCTCCATCACTAGTCTTGGTCTATATTCTGTCCTGCAGGCTCCCCTGCCCCCCATGATGATACCCAGGATCGTTCAGGACAAGGCTTGAACCCCACTAAAACTTTGCCTGCAGAGCAGAGAGGGGAAGAGGCAGCAGCCGGGGGGGCTCAGCCACCCTGTTTTCAGCACCTCGAGTGCCCTCAAGGATCTTGTTCAGCCCAGGGCTGGCTCAGGTGTGGCCAGACACAAGAAGTTAGGGCTGAGGAGCTAACAAGATAAAGTTCTTGTTGGAATGGGTCCAGCGGAGGGCCATGAAGATGATCAGAGGGATGGAGCACCTCTCCTATGAGGACAGGCTGAGAGAGCTGGGGTTGTTCAGCCTGGAGAAGAGAAGGCTCCAGGGAGACCTCATAGCGGCTTTTCAATATCTGAAGGGAGCTACAGGAGAGATGGGGAGGGGCTCTTTGTCAGGAAGTGTAGTGACAGGACAAGGGGTAATGGTTTTAAATTGGAAGAGGGGAGATGTAGATGAGATATCAGGAAGAAATTCTTTCCTGTGAGGGTGGTGAGACACTGGAACAGGTTGCCCAGAGAAGCTGTGGCTGCCCCATCCCTGGAGGTGTTCAAGGCCAGGCTGGATGGGGCTTTGAGCAACCTGGTCTAATGGAGGTGTCCCTGCCCATGGCAGGGGGGTTGGAACTCGATCATCCCTAAGGTCCCTTCCAACTCTAACCGTTCTATGATTCGTGCACACCTTACCACCACCTTCAAGGTCCTCACAGAGAGCAAACCTTGTAAGGGAAGACTGCTGTCCTAGCAGATGAGAAAGCTCTATATATAGAGCCTCTGGTGTTTTTCTGTCGTACGTCCTGTATCCACACACACCATTTCTGGGAGGCAATAAGCTTTCTGCATAGCAGCCAACTCCAACCATTCTATGATTCTATGATTCGTGCACATCTCACCACCACTTTCAAGGTGCTCACAGAGGGCAAACCTTGTAAGGTTCTCATCTGTCCTAACAGATGAGAAAGCTCTCTATATAGAGCCTGTGGTGTTTTTCTGTCGTACGTAGAGTATCCACAGACACCATTTCTGGGAGGCAATAAGCTTTCTGCATAGCAGCTG